GAGTTCCAGGCTGTACCCTGCCCAGGAGAGCTGAGGTTAAGCCTCAGCTATTCATGCCATAAAAAGAATTTTGTTAGAACAACACATGGCATCAGGCTATCCTGAATCCTCCTTGCATGGTCCAAAAGCCTAGTCTGCTTCTTGGTTATTCAAACTGCTGACATGACTCCTCTGGTTCCTAGTGCTGACCCCCTCCATTTCCCCACCCTTCACCAGGTCTCACAGCTATTTTACATAATTTGAAAACTGGAAGGGATCACAGTATCCATCTAGTCTAACTCCTACACCGCAGAAGTCCCCATTATAGAATACCCAACAAGCGGCTGTACAGCCTCTCCTTAAGGACTGCTAAAGAAACGGACCCCATTGCCTCCTGGGGCAGTCCACTCCACTTTTGAACACTCTCATTCTTGAGAAGTTTTTCCTGACATCCAGTCAGAATTTGCTTCTTTGCATCTTACACTCAGTGTTTCTAGTTCTGCCCTCTGGGGCCAAATAGAATATAAATCCTCCTTCACATGACAAATTTTCAAACAGCTTAGTCTTCTCTTCTTCAGGGTGAACATGTCCAATTCCTCAACTGACCCTCATAAGACACTGAATGAGATACAACCTCTGTGAAGACTTCTCAGGGTGGTGACGAAAAGACTGTCTCGAAACTAGAGATAGGCTCTGAGAGAACGAACAGGCCACAAGTTTAATTCGGCCCTAAACCCTCTCCTGATTGCCACTGCCATGTCAGCATTAGGTATACTAAATAAGGACATGTATGTTTGGATTGGCTATACGTTGTTTCCTTGTTCTTTGGGAATGGGAAAGATTTTCACTCCTAGAATGTAAATCCACCTCCCAGCCAATGGGAGTAAGGGATAGTGGCGGGTGGGAGTTTCTTGTTTGCATTAAGATATGTAACCTTGCTTTGTCCTTTGTGCCTCGCCTCTCTCCTGCTGGTAGTGTACTGGAGGAGCAGACGCCCCTTCTCGCAAGACTGTAAGAAAGAGTAATTTTTGCTTCCTTGAGAAGTCTCTGAGTTTAATTGTGTTAGAGTCGCTGTACCACACAACATGGACTCTGGCCCTTCACTATCTTAGCTATTCTCCTCTGGATACCTTCTAGTTTATCAATGTCCTTCTTAATCCGTGGTGTCCCAAACTGAACACAGTATTCCAGTAGAGGGGAGAGCACAATGGGCCTATCACCTCCCTACTCATAGAAGTGATATCCATCACATTGCTGACTAATATTGAGCTTGCATGCACTAAAACCCCCAGATCTTTTTTAGAACTGCTGTCTATCAATGCCTTCACTATCTTACACTTGTGAAAGTGATTTTTTGTGCCCAAGTGCAAGACTTTACATTTATGCCTACTGAATTTCATCTTATTAGATTTAGCTCAATATTCTAGGCTATTAAGTTACTTTTGGATCCTGTCATCTGATGTGTTAACTATCTCTCCCAACTTTGTGTAATATCTAAATTACTGAGTACATAAGGCATGTGTTTATCCATGTCACTGATAAAAGTGATAAATAGAACATGGTCAGGCACAGATCTCTGGAGACATCCTGCTATGTTGACACTGAACTATTAACTAACTGTTCTTTGAGTCCAGCCATCCAATCAGTTCTGAATACATCTGCTTGTATTACTGTCAAATCCCTATGTCTTTATCTTCTCCACAAGAATAGCATGTCACCTTTATCAAGAGGTTTGCTAAAATCTAGGTAAGCTGTATCTGCAGTACTCTCCTCTCATCTCCTAGTTTAATAAGCCTGTCATAAAGGAAATGAAGGTGGTCTGCCATGACTGGCTCTTTGTGATCAATACTTCTCTTTCTTCATGTTTACCACCCATCTCTTTAATGATCTCTCTTAGAGTGTCCTCAGGAATCAGTCAATTCCACTGACCTTTAGTTTGTAGGCTCTGATCTCTTCTCCCTTCTTGAAAATCAAAACACAATTTATCCTTCTCAAATCTCTACCTCTCCTATTTTCCATGATCTTTCAAACCTCACTGGTAGTGGCTCAGTCATCATATTTCTCAGTTCTTTCCTGAGGATGTCATTGAGGCAGGTGAGGTGACCTGACCTGGATTCATCAAGGACAGCCAGGAGTTCTCTTACTGTCTCTCTTCATTTATCTTGCATATCCACTCCTTGTTGGTCATTCCGTCCACTCTGAGCAAAGACCTTTTCCCTTCCATGATCCTCTCCTTTCTTGCAATATAGCTTAAAAACCATACTTTTTGCTGTGTTTAGCTTCCCTTGACAGTCTGAGCTCATCTGAGTTTCAGTATTCCTGATGCTGATTTTTACAGGAACATGCCATACTCATATTCATTCTCTGTTACCTGGCCTGGCTTCCATCTTTTGTACATTTCTTTTTAAAATCCAGGTGAGTTTCCTGTGCATCCACATTCAGACAATTCCTCCTCACTGAAATTGTTTCCCTCTGTGTCTTCAGAATTCCATTCTTGATTATAGTAACTCTTTTTGTGGTGGCCAAGAATTGGAAATTAAGGGGATGCCCATCAGTTGGGGAATGGCTGAATAAGTTGTGGCACATGAATGTAATGGAATACTATTGTGCTATAAGAAATGATGAGCAGGCAGACTTCAGAAAAACCTGGAAAGACTAATATGAACTGATGCGAAGTGAAGTGAACAGAACCAGGAGAATGTTGTACACAGTAACAGCAACACTATTCGATGATTAACTTTGTTAGACTTACCTTTTCTCAAGCAACGCAAGGATCTAAGACAACACCAAAAGACTCCTGATGGAAAATGCTATCCACATCCAGAAAAGGAACTATAGTCTGAATGCAGATCGAAGCATATTATTTGCTCTCTCTTCTTTTTCTTGTTGTTTCTCCCATTGGTTCTAATTCTTCTTTACAACATGACTAATGTGAAAATAGGTTTGATATAAATGTATATGTAGAGCCTATATCAAATTGCATGCTGTCTGTGGGAGGGATGGGGAGAAAATTTGGAACTCAAAATGTTGAAAACTAAAAAGTAATTTTAAAAAAAGATAAAAATAAATTTTTTAAAAAAGAATTCAATTCATGAGCATCTCCCATCCTTTTTGGAGTGACTTCCTCTGGAACATTTTAGTCCATGGGATCCTACCTATCTTTTTTCCAAACTCTTTTAAATCTGCTTTCCTAAAATCTAGGATGCATGTCAGACAACATCCAGACTACCTTTCCTTTTCTATCACAAACTCAAGGAGAGAAAAGCACTTCTTACCCACCTCAGGTTTCCATCATTCCCACCCCAGGTACTAGTTCCTTCTCTGTTAGTGAGAATAAGATACAGAATAGAATTTCACCCTGTTTGTTCTTCTACCTTCTGAAGGATATAAGTATGTCTACAATAAGTCAAGGGGTTATTAGCTGCTGTTTTTGGCAGAGAGAGAGAGAGCTTCAGCAGATGTCTGAATGGTTAAAGTCCCATACCACTATTCTGTCACGTCTCTGTGCAGGTTTGTGATGTTTCCCAAACTTTTCATCTATTTCCCCTTTCAGAATGGGTGGTCTATAGTATACTCTTATGATCACCTCTGTTTCTCCCTCTTTTGACACAAAATACGCTGATATCCTTCTATCCTTTATTTTTTCACTGTTCCTTCTAGTTTCTCTAAAAGAGGGGGCTTGTGGTACCTGGGGAACCAGCTAGCACAAATATACTACTTATACCTTTGTGGTCACTGTGAGACCTAACTAAAGAGACCTTGGTGATTAAGAACAAACCCCATACCTAAAACAGAACTCTGTATCCCAAAGACTCAAGAAGCAATATGCCCACTTTTCTAAAGCAACTATCTGGGAAAGTCTAGGGGATTGATAGTGGGAATCAATCAGCAGTAACAACTCTAAATTTAAAAAATAACAGCCTCAAATCATAAACCAACCAACCCTCTGTCATCCTATGTCATTATCCTCCTCCTCCTCCAGTCATTTCTTCCCCACTTCCCTCACTGTCCTCCCTAACTATACATACATACCTCACCCGCTTGGAACTCTGAAAGTTCCAGCAGGAAGGGGATTTCTGTGTCAAAATTAGCAAAGAAGTTGGTCCACTGGTGTTCAAAAGTCATTAAATCCTAAGAAAAAAAATAGAAAACAGAATTTATTGGCTTTTAAAAATATACATAAAGAGAATATTACTTCAAAATACAGCACTCCGAAACAAAATCAATCTAATGGATCACAATGGTCAAATATTGACAAAGTCAACAGGCACCTCATAAGAATATTCTGTACTGATTAGGAGAATGTAGTGTAAGGTGAATCTGTCTGGAAGCCCACATAAGAAGGTCTAGTCCTCAAGCACCAAAAAAATCCTATTCTAAGATGATTTGGCCTACCAGGCACAGCCCCTCAGGCTGGTCCTCTGGTGAGGATCTAAGTGTTTCTACCCTCATGGGTTACAAGGTCACCCAGTCAAAGGCACAGCCCTAGCCTGTATTAAAGGGAAGCAATGTCAGCCAAGTTTCATTCTGAGTTTGCAGGAACCTCACTCAGATCCTTCTTCTAATCTGAGTCTAAAAATATATCTCTGAGTCCTAGGGTAGTGACATTTTGACTCCCCTTCTGCTGGACCCCTTCTGATTACTAAGAAATAAGTGCTATTGGAGGATGTGGCCCGGGCCTAACATTTCCTGCCCCACCCCCAAGTTTAAGACTCTATTCTCTTTATGCACACAAGAAGAACAGAATTCAGTGGTTTCCCTATTGTGTGCCTACCATCTCTTACGAAAGGAAAAGAAGGGGTGAAGAGACTGGATTCTTTTCCTTGTCACTAGAGATTCCACCTATGTAAAAAGTAAAGCATGTTCAATGCAATAGAAGATGGAACCAGAAGTAAGGAGAGGAAGAGAATAAAAAGCATTTGGCTGAGAGAACACGGCATGAGAGGCAGGGAACATCTTGGCTTAAGGATTCTGTGACGTAACCAGGCTAGAAATTGGAGGAAAAGCAAAGGGAGAACTTCCAGAGAAGTTCCTTGTTACCACGGCAGGGATGACTGAACCTAAGTCACTAAGGCCAAACCTGCTTAAGAAATATCTGCTGACTCTGAACATGCTTAAGCCACGACCAGGAGAACAAAGTAGTCAAGAGAGGCGCAGAAAAGCTGAGAATGAGATTCAGGAGCCTTCATTCCAGCTTGTTTACCCAACCCCTGGGGGGCTTCTTTTTGGTCACTCAAGTCTTACTCCAAAGAGAAACGAAGAGCTAAACACAAGGAAAATCAAGAAAACACTGAGTTGCAGAAGCCAGCAGCCAACAGGAGGCTCTGAAAGATATAGAAGCCAACAATTTTCTAGCAAAGATTATTATCAAAACCAGGCTTAGCTTTCATAATCAAACTCCTGAAAATAGTGATTTAAAAAATCTAGTCCCAGAATGGACAATGTAGTTGAAACTCAGTCTCTCAAAATGGAAATTTTAGTGCCTCAGCTATTAAAGATAACAACACTGGTTTGTTAAATACCAAGTCTGGACAGATAAGCAAGATCCTGAAGCAAAACACAGTATTTCAATATTTGATAAACCCTAGAATACTACTGGGAAAACTAGAAAGCAATTTGGCAGAAATTAGGTTTAGATTAATATCTTACATAATACATGACAAACTAGCTCCAAATGGACATGTGACCTAATAATAAAAGGCAATATCATTTTTTAAAACTATAGGAATATCAGTTTAAAAACCTATAGGAAAATGGAAGAAGGTACCTATTACAAAAATGGCTGGGGGAAGGGAGGGAAATTCTTAACTAAATAAGCAACCAAGGTGATCATAAGAGATTAAAACAGTCTATATATCAAAGTCAAAAACTTTTGTATGATCAAAATTAATGAATCTAGAAAAAAAACTATGAAGTGGAGAAAAGTCTTTATATCCAATATTTTTGATAAAAGTGTGATATGCAACTTTTATTGGTAACTGGCACAAGCACATAAAAGTACATGAGCTTTTCCCCACAAGATAAGTGATCAAAGATATAAAGTTTTTGCAAACTATCAATAATCATATTTTAAAAGTTCCTTATCACTAAGAAGATAACTATAAATTAAAATAATTCTAAAGTTTCTTCTAACTCCAATCAATGTGACAAAAATGATAAAAAACAAAAACAATCAGTGTTGGAGAAGCAATGAGAAGATAGCCATACTTATACACTGGTGGGAGAGCTTTGAAATGGTCCAATAATTCTGGGGAACAGTTTGAAGTTATGTGAAAGCAGTCACTAAGCTATGCAAATAATAGTATACTAAATATACAATGACAATTCAGGTTAGAGAAGGAAAAAAAAAGATATAATCCTCTGATATGATCTATATAAGTCCCACTACTTATCACACATCACAAGAAAGTCAAAGATAGAAAGAAAGCCCCCATATATACTAAAATATAAATAGCAGCACTTTTGTGGTAGCAAAAAACTGGGAACATAAAGGGACCTATATCATTTGGAGAATGGCTAAACAAATTGTGGAATGAGAATATACTGGAACAATATTACACAATAAATATGAGGAATTTGAAGAAACATGAGAAGATTTTTATAAACTGCAAAGTGAAGTACATAGAACCTGAGAACAAACCCAATCAGTCAGTAAGCATTTACTGTGCATATGGCACAGAGACAGATGCTGGGGATACAAAGACACAAGCAAAACAGTGCCTAGACTAAGGAACTTACATTCTATTAGGGAAAACAAAATGTATACATATAAGTAAATACAAAATAAATACAAAACATACAAGTACATTTGTAAAATATACAAAAGTATATACAAAAACCATAAAGTAAAAGTATATATAAAGTGAATACAAAGCGGTTCTCCAACAAAACCCTAGGTATGGGCACTAAGACTGCAGCTCAGCCCCTTAGATGGTTCCTATCCAAAAAGATACACAGCTATATTCCTCAATTTCCCTAGGGCACCCATTAGCAACTTTTGTTGTTATTATTGTTTGACCTTCATTCTAAAAGAGGACCACAACATTAGGAAGGTGATGCTACGACTTGCAAGTGAATTGAAGTGAGGGAGGGCTATGCAGAGTCACCAGCCTCACTTTCTCCTCTGGAGAAATCTGGGTCTAGTGGCAAGATATAGATCAGGATGACTGAAGATGGCCCCAGATATAGTAACTTTTTTAGTTTTTTAGTCAAAGAAACTTTGCTTTATCTTTAGTTCTCTCTTCTACTTCATCCCAAAATGATAACACTAGATAGTTCTAGATATTTTACCTGGTGACTCCAATCTTGATTTGGATACATTACAGGAAGCAGGAGTTAAGCACTGTTCGTATTCTGAATCCCTAAGCCTGGCCCCTTAGCATTTAGTCCCAAAAAGCAAATGAAATTTCGAATAAGTATGTCTTAAATTCAGTGCCAAATGATGGTCATCCATTCATTCCCTCTCTTACATATCACTGTTCCTTGGATCTGCCAAACTAAAGACAAAATATCAAAGACATCAAAGTCTTAGATGTCTGATGGGCTGTAAGAGCTTCACAGAGTTATGTGCAAAACAGAAAAGCATATCTCCAACTCTTTTCCCCATCCCATCTACACTGCAAATCACTTTTTTTTTTCAATTGGGGTTAAGTGACTTGCCCAGGGTCACACAGCTAGTAAGTGTCAAGTGTTTGATCTGACACCAGATTTGAACTCAGGTCCTCCTTTAGAGCCGGTGCTCTATCCACTGCGCTACCTAGCTACTCTCACAAATCACTTTTTACAAAGCTTTTGACTACTTCCTTTTAATCACAAAAGGACTGAATGAAGATCCAAGGGGGAGATGGAGTATCAAAGCATGAAGGTGGACAAACATACTACTGATAGTTCAAAGGAAAGGGCACAGAGCAGCCTCAGAGTCAGATCAAAGCAGGTAAATATCAAAATCATCCTCTCTTAAAGATCTCGAGAGACAGATTCCACAGCATCACTTTAGGATCACTCAAGGTTTACTCTATTAGTCAAGAAATTCCTATGTTCGACCCAAATTTTTGCTGCTGTGATTATAATAAAACTCCTTCATGTCTACCTCATAGAACTAACTTTACAGACCTGAAGATAGCAGTCTAGTCCTACCACCATATGCTCATAGGCATGAGAAAGGTAGAACATACTTTTGAGATCATCAGGCATCTAATCTAACACACTCGTTGTACAGTTGAGAAAATTAGTGCCCAAAGAGGTTGAGTGACTTCCCCAAGGTCATCCTGGTAGGCATCACTCAGTTTTCTTGGGCAACCGATTGCTTTTCTGTAGTACTGATCATTCATCTCTAGGGGTACTTTAATAAATCTTTTCTGCAGTATGACCATATGCTCTTTGAAAAAGAGTTATACCTGGAAAGACTTACATGAACTGATGCTGAGTGAAGCGAGGAGAACCAGGAGAACATTGTACATAGTAACAGCAATATTGTGCAATGACTAACTTTGATAGACTTAGCTCTTCTCAGCAATGTAAGGATCCAAGACAAGTCCAAAAGACTCATGAGGGGAAATGATATCCACATCCAGAAAAAGATCTATGAAGTCTAATGCAGATCTATTTGCTCTCTTTTTGTTTCTTTTTTTTTTGTGGTTCCTCCTATTGGTCCTAATTCTTTTTACAACATGACTAATATGAAAATATGTTTAATATGAATATATGTGTAGAGCCTATATCAGATTGTATGCTGTCTTGGGGAGTGGGGAGGGGAAGAAAGTTTAGAACTCAAAATCTTATGGAAGTGAATGTCAAAACTAAAAATAAATTAATAATTTTAAAGAAGACTTACAGGTGGACATGGTCAATATGTTGGTTGGTTTTACCAAAATGCTTTTTTTTTTTTTACTTATTATGTTGTAAACTTTGTTTTTAAGGAAGGGCTTCCTGGATAGGGGAAAGAAGGAGAAAAATATATTCAGAAATGAATGTGGTTTAAAAACAAGAGGCATTCAAAAAAACCCTCCAAAATTTTTAAAAAGAGTTATGGTTTAACAAGGTTCTGGTTAGTGTGATTGGTTACTGGAATGTCATTCCTGTCCTCCAGACAGCTAACAATCTCCTACCAAATTTAAGATCATTTAAAAAAAATGATCCTATTTATCACCTGAATGACGGAATCAAAATGGACTCTAGGATCAATTACTAGGTGACATCATTGACAACTACCCCTTTGGGTCTATCCTTCATGTGAAAAGTTAATCATGCTTAGGATAACCCAATGAAACAGTGACCCTCCCACACCTCCCCTATATCTCAATGTCTCTACAAGATCATGTCAGGATTCTTAGGTCTTCTAACTATGGGAAGCTGTAAGGTTGTAAGCCATTAGTCACAGCAATAGCCCAGATGGGTTGAAAGAGGTTCGGAACCTGAGAGCAAGTGAAGATTGTAGGGTCCCAAGAGATGGCTGCTCTCTTACCCTATTCTTCTTGCTTACACATCTGGATGCAAACTTTAATAGACGGTTCAAAACTGATTCCATTTTGCACGGGTACAAACGCACAATTCACAGAAATGGACACTGTATATGTAGACAACTAGAGCCAACTAGGCCTGATGTGGAAGGGAAAGTCCACCTTCCCAAGCCTAAAGAAGGCTATATGTAAGCAACCAGCTGAAACAGCTATCCAGGTCAGAAAAGTGAAGCAGAACCTAAACCCATTAACACGTCCTCTGGCCTTCCTACCAGTGCAAAGAACTCCAGCATCAGACATGTGTGTGTGTGTGTGTGTGTGTGTGTTCTTTGTCTCCATTTAAAAAAAAAAAACCTGTTTGATCAAGGGAAAGCCAGGAACTCATGAAGAAAACTAGACAGAAGCAGCTCTCAGTGTTGGCCATCTGGGCAGTCACAATAAGATAGGCTTAGAAGCCAAAGGCCGCTTTGGAGGTTTTATCAAGTTGGTTAGCCTTGACCAACACAAATCTGGTGAAAAATTTGCCAAATGGTCCAAATCCCCAAAGCTTCCTACTCAAGAAAGAGTTATTCCTTATGAACTTTTCTCTGTGCTCAAATAAATGCTAGATCAAAAAGAATAAAGGGTACTGAATCTGCAAATGGTATAGAAAGAATATCTATAATTAAAAACCTATTGTATCCCAATTGATAGTCAAAGGATATGAACAGGCAGTTCTCAGATGAAAAAATTAAAGCTATCTATAGTCATATGAAAAAATGCTCTAAATCACTATTGTTTAGAGAAATGCAAATCAAAACAACACTGAGGTACCACATCATACCTATCAGATTGGCTAATACGACAAAACAGGAAAATTATAAATGTTGGAGAAGATGTGGGAAAATTGGAACACCAATGCATTGTTGGTGGAGTTGTAAACTGATCCAGAATGAAGAACAATTGGGAACTATGCCCAGAGGACTATAAAACTGTGCACACCCTTTGACCCAGTAATACTACTTCTAGTTTTGTATCCCAAAGAGATCATAAAAATATTTATAACAGTTCTTTTTGTGGTGACCAAGAATTGGAAATTGAAGGGAGGTCCATCAATTGGTGAATGGA